ATACGATATGCCTATATATAAACATAATATATATTCTATTCATTTATATATATATATATATATATATTACTAGTTTTATTAATACAGTATGAATATAACTACATATACAATATAAGTCAAGTTGTGGTTCCACATTTGTTACTATTACTCTTTTGATGGATATGACTATTTCATGTGAAAAATTGTTATTTGCCAGTTTTATCTATTTGATGGGCTTTGTAAAAGAATAAGATGTCTTTTTTTATTCAGATTCAGATTACTTTTGAAATTTTGTTCTTAGGTTTTGTTTGTGTAGTCAAGTTTGTTAGAAAGCAAAGTATTTTGTATGTTTTTGGTAGCTATCAGTATCAATTCCATATATACCAATCTAGATAGGGAGGGATTAGGGAAGTATTGATTGTCTAAATGATGAGGATGTGTGTAGATGTATCTTTTGTACAATATTGCATTGCTCTCAATACATAAATCATTTCAGCCCTGAATCATATTCTCCATGTTTCATTATTGTGTTTATATGGTATCAAAGCAAGAACTATTCCTAGCTCTTTTCTTCTTCCTGTTGCACTTTATTCATCTCGTGTAGTCTTTTAAAATCCTTTCGCCCTTCATGGCAAATGATGATAATCAACCAAAACCCTACTTCACTCATCATGCCGATCATTCCTGCTTGATTTTAGTTTCCAAAGCCGAGAATGGAGATAATTACACGTCTTGGAAAAGGGCTATGACCTTTAGCCTTGAATTCAAAGGATACGTTACGCTTTGTGGATGGTTCTATTGAAGCTTCATTCAAGGAAGTGGATCTGCAGTCTTTGCAACATGGTCAAGATGCAATGACAAGGTTCAATCTTGGATCGTTAATACTAAGTCAAGAAACTGTTGATAGCGTCATTTACTATTCTACAACTTCTGAAGTTTGGGAAGATCTCATTGAGAGATTTTCACAAGGTAATGCACCTCAGGTTTTTGAGATTCAGCAAGGCATTGTGTCATCGAGCCAAGAGCATATGTCAATCGCAACCTATTACACTAGGTCGAAAGGTTTATTGGATGAACTAGCCTCTTACAACTTGTACCCATTGCAATGAGAGAAGGCATTGATTAGGTACCCACCTGGTCAACCAAAGGCAAAGCAACATCCACAAAGGGAATGGATCAAGTTCAACAAATTCTAAAAAAAAAAATTCAAAGTAGTTGCTACTCAGGTGAAGTTTTAGATGGAGAGAGTAGGCAAACTTTACTATGATAGTAGCTCAATTTAATAAATTCATGGCTACTGTTGAAAAGGCCAACAACGAAAATCAAGCTTCTATTCCTAAGGCCAATATGGCAACAAAACCGGCTCAACCAGGTGTGTTTCGAATTAATTTTCAGCTTAGGGCTTTCAATGATTCAGATTGGTTAGAGTGCTCGCTTACAAGGAGATCTACCATAGGGTTTTGTGTGTTTTTGGGACCAGCCTTGCTCTATCTCATGGATATCAAAGCGACAAATATTGGAAATTTTGTGGGTTGGAAGTTTGTCTTCCATCCCACATTGGTAGATAAAGAATTTCTAGAGAAGCTTATAAGGCTTTTTCTATAATTAGGCTTTGTACAAGTTGATGGACTAATGGTCGGGGTCTTGAGTGGAAGGCTCCACACATGCATGTGCATGGCCGAGCTCCAAGCATTTTTTTGGTACAAAGTCGAGAGGAGAAGGAAAATAATTGTTTTTTTTTAAATCGGTTTTTGACTTGGTCTAACCACGATTTAGAGATAATGGTCATTGGAGAAAAATCCTCCAACGTGATCTGTGTTTTTCGGGGAGGATTTCATGGAGAGTTGAAGGCTTCACTAGTATAAAAACTAGGTTGAAGCAAACTCTAAAAACACACAGAAAAATCAGATTTTTTCTTCTACAATTGCTGCTTTTGAACGTTCTTTTTCTTCTCTACCAATCTCTGCATCCACGATGCTCTATTTTCATTTTGATCGTTGTTCATAAACGAAAAGTATATTACATCAAATCCTGGGGCTTTGCGACTAGCAGACTTGCAGCGAGAAAAGAGTTGTTGTATAAAACCTTAAAGGACAGGTTTTACCGTGCAAATTACGATTAATCGACAGTTTAATCAGGTTGGTTTTATATTTAGTGCATTGTATTTAATTTATGTTCACTAAGTGAACAACGTTGCTTCTACTTCTTTCTTTCATTGAATTTATCACGAATGATGGATTCAATCTGTGTCAATTGGCACTCTGTTGAGGTGTTGTGGGTTCTGAACACCAAAAGTTATCATTTTTCATATTTAAAAAAAATTAATTTTTCCATTAAAAAGTTAAACTTTTTTATAAAGGTTAACACTTTATTTGTTTCATCTATCTTACTCGAATTATTTTTCAACAAGAAAAGCATCTTTTTCTTCAGCTAATCAGCCAGAGTTTGTGCAATGGCCGGCGCATGTTGTGAGTTGACATGGTTGCATAGTTTGCATAACGATTTTGGCATCTTACATCCTAAGGCAGTTTCACTATATTGTGATAACAAAACAGCCATACACATAGCCAGCAATCTAGTGTTACATGAATGCGAGACATAGAAAATGGACTACCGTTACATAAGAAACAAGATACAAGATGGCTCGCTGGAGATAAAGTTTGTGACGTCTACAAATCAGTTAGCGAGTATGTTAACTAAGGGGCTGTTTGTTTGGCTCTTAATGGTTACATTAAGAGCCAACCTCTTAATCGGTAAGAGGTCAAGACTGTTTGGCAAAAAAAAACAAGCTCTTAATGGTTACATTAACCTCTTAACCATTTTGCACCTAGACCTTCACTAAACCATTCAGATGTTCATTTTTCCAACTCTGCCCTCTCAAGTCGTTCTTCACATGGCATCCCCCTCCATTTGCCGGTTCCAGTCGCCATCTTCCCCCCTCCCATCGTCGGTTCCAGTCGCCGTCTTCCCCCCTCCCATCGTCAGTTCCAGTCGCCGTCTTCCCCCCTCCATCGCCGGTTCCAGTCGCCGTCTTCCCCCCTCCCATTGTCGGTTCCAGTCGTCGTCTTCCCCCCTCCATCGTCGATTCCAGTCGCCATCTTCCCCCTCCCATCGTCGGTCTTCCATTCGCCGGCCGTCTCCCCCCCACGATCGTCGCCGCCCCTACTGCTTCCCACGCGAGATCCTCGTTCCTCATCCCACTCGATCATGTTCTCCAGCGTCTTCTCCATCGTCTCTGTTGTCTTCTACATCGTCTCCCACTCGATTTTAGGTATTTTCCTTCTGTCTCCTTTTTCCTTCTCTCTGCAGTAACAATGTCGATGAACTTAGGGTTGTTTGAATGAGGTAATTGATTTGATCGTTGGTGGATTCAAGTTATGAGCTAATCATTTTGGTATCTGTTAAATCAAGACATTTTGGTATCATTTTGGTATCTGTTGAATCGATTTTGGTATCCTTATTATGATGAGTTGTGCCTGATATTTGGAAAGAGTAGAGGCAATGAGAAGAGGGTTAAAATGGTAATTTGTTGTCATTCAGTGAACATTTACCAAACAACCATATTTCATTTAGCACTTAACCATTCTGACCCTCTTAACCATTCTGACCACTTAACCATTCTGTACAAAACCATTCAGCAACTGTCAAACAGCCCCTAAGCCTCTTGGCAAAGAGATTTTCATTCCTATGATTCACAAGTTGGGAGTGCAAAACATCTATTCTCCAACTTGAGGGGGGATGTTACTTTTTTTCTAGTAGGAAAGTTTGGATTGTTTAGGTTTCCTAATTCTTTGGATGTGTATAGTTGTAGCTTTTGTACATATATTCCGTAGCTCTCTATACAGAAAGCAGTTCAGTCCTAAATCATATTCTCCATATTGCATTGCTGTGTTTATAAATTTATCTGAATTCGAATAATGTATGATTAAAACGAGCATGGATATCAACTCCGGTTGTTGTTCCTTCATAATTAAAAAAAAAACTATCACTCCAAAATTAGAGGCCAAACAATGGCGTACATAGTTATAATGCTCTTTTAATTTTCGAAAGCATCACATGCTTATTTTATATATACTATATCAATGTATCATTTGTTCAATGATATGGGATTTCTAAAAACCAACCACAACGTAAGATTTTAAAATACATCACTCTCAAGATGTCAACTCAATATTTTAAAGTCATCTTTTTATATGGGATAAGCAAACTTAACCACATTTCAAGATTTAAGAAATACTCAAATCTCATAATGATAATTGCAAATGAAATGATTGATTTCATGTGAGCCAACATCATGACTTTCAACAAAAAAATCACTTCCTCTTTTCATATATATATATATATATATATATATATATAGAGAGAGAGAGAGAGAGAGACTCTTTCATTGCTTAGGATTTGATGGCTTCTTTGGGGGTTTTTGATTTGGAGATTCATTGTTGTTGAAATGAGGACTTTGTGGTAGGAAAAAAAAAAACCTTCTTTGGTTGAAGCTTTGGTATCTATGTTGTTGCCTTAGCCCCGCAAATCAGTGACCATTTATTGCCATTGCTACACTTCCACGAGGATGTTCAAGGATGACTATAAAACATAACTATGAGGAAACCAACATAAACACAATATAGTAATACATACTACATACATGTAATGCAAGGGGTCCATGGTGTGGCTTTTTGTTGGAGGCAAATTATACACTCACATTAAGGTGATCAATGGTTCAACTTTTTTTTTCCTCACACCATCATTTGTCAGATATATTGTTTGTTAATATATATTGTCAAGAAAAAAGAGGTGAGAGAGGGAAAAAGACGAAAAGTAAACGGAAAAGAAATATAGCTAAATTAGGGAAATTAACTTGATTACTCATTTTAAATGAACATTTTCACTTTTTATCCAATTTTTTCATCTTTTAAATCAAAATAGCCCCTGAGTAGCATGGGGTGCATGGAATCCCGTGTGAATCAGTAAGGACCATCTTATTAAACAAGATAACCAAAACATTATTAACATATATATTTTTTTTTACCAAAAAGAAGCCAATTCCTGCAATTGAAATGGAACCATCATCACAACCCTAATGTTCTCACACACCAGCACACCTATTTGACATAAATACCACACATTTACACAGACTTATTAACCTCCATCTTTTAACACAAACCCTCCAACTCATGCAACCCATCATTTTATATAGGCCCAATTTCTCCACTTTCATGAGCTTCTTTCACTCTCTTATCATACTCATCTTCTTCTCCATCTTCTTCCTCTCCTGCTTCTCCCTCCTCTTCTTTATCATCATCCTCATCTCCCCATCTATACCCTCCATGGGATTGCAGAACTGGCGGAGGTGACCTTGCTTCCTCCACGATCTTCATGATATCCTCCACGCTTTGTGGGGAAAACGTCGGGTTTTCCTTCCTGTAATACTCCGCTTGTGCTGCTTCTGTTAGTTCCCTTGGCAAATTCTTCAGGAACCATGGATGGCTCTTAATTTCTTTTAGGGTGATTCTCTGGAGAAAAAACAAGCACATACGTTGATATCTTTTCTATATGATTATGGAAGTATACTGATGGGACTGGACTGGTGATGAATGAATCGTCCAAGGTTTTAGGGTTTTAATTTGACATGCGTAGTTTGGTAATTTACCAATCTTGCCTCATCTCCTTATTTTTGTAGTTCCCATCCCTACAAATTTAATGCTGTCGTCCTTATCTTGATGTGAAAACAAAAAGTATGCGTACCTTGGAAGCATTGGCTACAAATATCCGAGAAAGAAGATGTCTACAATCTTGAGATATGTGAACATAGTCTGGGATCTTGTATTGAACACCCATTATTCGCTGAGAAAAAGAACGAGTCAAAGGTCAAAGTCAGTGTTGGCAAGGCAAAAGCATGTTGGCCTAAAAAAAGTAAAGCAACTAACTTGAATCGTCTTCCTAAAAAATTTTCGATCTTCTTGGTCTTCGAAAGGGCATGCTCCAACCAGCATCACATAAAGTGTCACTCCACAAGACCAAACATCCCCCGTCTAAGAACCACAAATCAAAATTGGCAAACCCCAAACGACATGGTGTTTAAAATTCTACTCATAATTCAAAAAAAAAAGATATAAACCATCAGCAATTATCGTTTGGTGACACCCAAAAAAATCCGTGACATATGAATGTTAATAAGTGCACTTAAAGGTTTGAACTTTTGTTGTTTGCTGCAGAAACTATTAGCACTTAGCAATGACAACTTGAATATTATCCGCTCTATTAGAATATGTAAAATGAGTTCAAGAAAGGTGATCAACAAGATCAGAATATATGACAGTCAAGATGTTGTACCTTGCCATCATATTCTCTACGAGAAAGAACCTCAGGAGCAATGTATGCAGGAGTGCCAACTGTGGATTTTGGTCTCGAGTGTAGCAGAGATGACTGCAAATGACTGAAACCATTAGCATATGGATTTAGTTTACAAAATAATCTCCATTTTCAGTACATGATGAACACCTTTGAGTAGCCAAAATCACAAATTTTCAGCCGTGGTGCAGGGCTCCCATCCAAAAATGTGTTCTCGAGCTTCAAATCTCTATGGCATATTTGCTGCACGATATTGATGCATAACTTGATGAATTTAACTACATCAAATCAAACAATAATACTCTTATTGTGTGTTTTCTTGAAAAGACTTTTACCATGAAATGGCAGTAGTGAACTCCTGATATAAGCTGTTGGAAGAAGTATCTAGCCTGAAATATTGACCAATTATATCAATAAAGAGAAGATTTAAAGCTAAAGGAACCAAATAAAGCAGCCTCCAATTGTAATATTTCTATGACCTCATCTTCGCTGAATCTTCCAGCATTGCAAATCCTCTCGAAAAGCTCCCCTCCGGCCGCATACTCCATGACAATAGCAAGGTGGGTGGGGGTGAGAACCACCTACAAAATACCACAAATTTAAGTCTAGATTACAATCCATAGTGTGACAAAAATCATAAGAATCTTGATGAACACAATAGGACCACTTACCTCTCTGAATCGGATTATGTTTGGATGTCGAAGTGATCTGTGATTTATGATTTCTCTAGCAACATTCTCATCAATCTACAACCAAAAAAGGACATATCCCACTTGGAATTTAGCCTATAGCTCAGCTTTCAGACGAACAAAACACAAACAGATGACTAATTTTAGATGAAGAATCTGCATATATGTTTGTTTGTGTGTAGTCAAATGATAAAATTAAAAAAAACAAAAAAAAAACCATTCATGTAATGCATTGGAAGCCTCTTTCAACAACTCTGAGTTACAAAAACAATATGAATTGCAATAAAATAACAATAAAATGGAGTAAAAACTAAAGACAAGAGAGATGAGGAAAATGGTATATACCTTGTGCCCTCTTTCTATACATTTCATAGCAACAAGCTCTTTGGTAACCTTGTTCCTCATCAGCCTCGCAACTCCAAAATTCCCAGATCCTAAATCCTTTACAAGCTCGTACTTCTCCAATGACTGAAGGCTTGTTGGATTTTGGAAACTACGATCATTGATTGTAGAAGCTGATTCAGTTGCAGGTGATGAATCTCTGGTTCTTACAGTTCTAGCAGCTAATTCTGTTGCAGTGGAGGAACAATTGGTGCTTAATATTCTGGGGCAAGTGTGTTTTCCCAGGTTAGTGACTTCAAAGAAAGATGGGTCCTCGGTACACCTGTGAACGTACTTCCTTGCAAGACAATGTTGGAATTTGCATCTGTAATATTCTCTGCAAATTTACAAGTATTGTTATTAGTTTGTGTCTTTAAATATCAAGCAGGGTTAAACCGTGAAGAAACTTGGAATTAGTATACATAATCACAAGTATATCTTGACACAAACTATTTACATGAAATACAGGAACAAGGAAAATGATCATAAAGTGGCTTGTGCATCCATCTAATGAACCACTTAAAACATACAGGAAGAGCCCCATACCAAAAATTAGAACACTGAAAATCCAAAATCCAAAACTAAAGGTCATATGTGGGTCTGTGAATAATTATGACGTCCTATATATGTATATGTACGTATATATGTTTAGAATCCCACACCGGCTACATTTGGACCATTTCTCCTCTATATATATTGGAACCTCCCTTCTCTCCTCAAAGACTCTTTTGGAGAGTAATCTAATGGGGTTTCACATATTCTTGCATGGTATCGAAGTTAAAGTCTACCACTCTATTTGGAGAGTAATTTAATGGGGTTCCACATATGCTTACAATGTGTATATATATATATATATGTAGAGGGAGATTCAGAGGAAAACCCCCAAAAATGTGCATACAAGTAATTGAAGCTGTATTTTTGGTTTTTATGCACGTGTACATACCGGACAAATTGCTCAAAAATTACTTGAATGCATATTTGATAATGTCCAAATGAACAATTATCAGGGTATCCTCAGTTTTTCATTTTTTTGCGGTTTTCCCTGAACGTGACCCTATATATGTATTATGTGTGTGTATATATATCATATCTAAAATCTAAACATAGGTGAATGTTAGATCAAACCAAAAACCTCTATGATCATTGATAACTCTCATATAGACAGTTATTTATCATAGACTAAAACCACGATTGCCACCGTTTATTTGAGTAAAGTTGTCTCATTTCGGCTAATTTGTAGTTAAATGACATCTTTTAGATTAGTTGTTCGCTTTATTCATTTCGGCTAATTTATCACAGCTTACAGTTAGTTAATTTTATTTTTCTGCAACTAAGTATGGGAATGAGGCGGGAAACCTAATCCCCACCCCCGATCCTCCCAATCTCTTCCTATCCCCAACGGTGATCCCCAATGGGGAATCGGGGATTGTTTTTCCTGTTTATGTGAGATATTTTAAATCAAATGTCTTAAACACCACACTCGATCCAAAATGGTCCATGTTTAAATCTCACATATTTCCAAAATTTTGCCTTTATGGAGTATCAAATATTCATATGTGAACAAAATCACATCATGCGTAATTGTTTGATCAAACGTTTCCGCTCTCCATGTTTTTATCTAAAAAGGTCAAAATACTTTTTCGAAATGTAAAAGATACTAAATCTAATTATTATAAATAATATATTTAATATACTAGGTGGGGCGGAGATCACATTAACCCCCCCCCCAAAAAAAAATCCTCGGGTGGGATTACCGTCCATCCCCGGTCCCAGTTTTGCGAGGAATCCCCAGCCCCATTAGGGCGGGTCTAATTCCCATGCCTATCTGCAGGTTTTATTTTGTCCGAACAGCTTTTAATTTTTAGGAATTATAATCCAGTTTACTATTTTCCTTTAACTTCCTGCACATTACCAATTTAGTTTTGTTCTTAATCTAGTTTGAAATGACAACAGTTGTTCTTCTATTCATTTTGATTGCTTACTATAATCATTAGCTAAAACATCATTACTTGGGTATGAATGAACCTTTCTTGAACCTGGTTAACTGCATAAAATATGTATAAGCATATGTTTTACTGGATAAAAGTCTGTATCATTGAGCCTGGCAACAATGACCAATTCGATTTCTGCTGGCAACAAAGAAACAAGGCTACAGCAACAGCCAACAGGCACAGGCTATAGCAATTCTGCACCGTACTAAAACTCAAGGGGATTTCCATATCCAAGTATTTTGAAAATCTTCTAATACTATCATTTAAAATCTTGAAATTGCAAACCAACTGACTTCTCACTCTTATTTTATGCAAAATTCCCATTGTGTACAATATCTCGTTTTTACCGTTTTATTACCCGTTGACGAAGTATAATGCTGTGTATACTTTGAAAGTAATCGTGTTTTCCTTGATTATCTTCTATATACATCAGCCGAATATATATACARCTGAGAGGCTACAAATTAGGAAATGATCTCCACTCATTTAGGGGTGATCAATGACATAATAAACATCCTAAAATAGATGAGGCTAAACTCAGAAATAGCTAATTTACAGCTAGCTAACTTACACTGGAGCGATGCCATGAATGAAGAATACCGAGCTCTAATGGACAATCACACGTGGGACTTGGTACCTCGGCCCTCTGATGCGAACATTATCCGGTGCATATGGTTATTTCGTCACAAGTTTAACGCAAATGGCACCTTACAAGGCTACAAAGCCCGATTGGTCGTTAACGGGAAATGTCAACAGGTCGGCATCGATTGTGATGAAACATTTAGTCCCGTAGTCAAACCGACCACAATTCGAGCAGTGCTCAGTCTCGCTATTTCCCGGGGTTGGTCCATTCACCAACTCGACGTTAAAAATGTTTTTCTCCACGGGGACTTAAATGAGACGGTATATATGTTTCAACCTCCGGGATTCACCGATGCCACTCACCCTAATTATGTATGCAGGTTACGCAAATCTCTTTATGGGCTCAAATAGGCCCCTCGCGCGTGGTATGACAGATTTGCCACCTATATCACTAAGTGTGGTTTTCGGAGTACCGTTAGTGATACTTCCCTATTTGTCTACAAAAAGGGAAGTGGCATGGCCTACTTGCTGCTGTATGTTGATGATATCGTTCTCACGGCCTCTAATGACCGTCTTCTCACTGATATAATTGCTCTTTTATCTCGTGAGTTTGCTATGTCAGATTTAGGTACCCTTCATCATTTCCTTGGGATCAATGTTACTCGCAAAGACGGCGGCTTATTTCTTTCTCAAGAAAATTATGCTGCTAAGATCCTATCTCGAGCTCATATGGCAGATTGCAAGCCTAGTTCCACTCCTGTTGACACTTCCCCCAAAATGAGTGCCACAAGTGGTCAACTTCTACCCGATGGGACACATTATCGCCTGGCAGGTGCTTTACAGTATCTTACCATCATGCGTCCGGACCTTACCTATGCAGTACAACAAATCTGCTTATTCATGCATGCCCCACGAGATCCACACTTCCAGTTCCTCAAACGAGTACTCTGTTACCTTAAAGGAACAATTACGTATGGTCTCCATATCTCACCCTCCAAATCAACGAATCTTATTGCCTATTCTGATGCCGATTGGGGGGGTGCCCCGATTCTCGGCGCTCCACTTCCGGATACTGTGTCTTCTTAGGAGATAATTTGGTTTCCCGGTCGTCAAAACGTCAGCCGACCATATCTCGATCCAGCGCCGAGGCCGAATACCGTGGAGTTGCAAATGCAATTGCCGAAACGAGCTGGTTGCGCAACTTACTTCTTGAACTTCATGTTCCCGCTCGCAAGGCTACGATTGTTTATTGTGACAATATCTCGGCTGTCTACTTATCTGACAATCCCGTACAACATCAGCGTACAAAACATGTGGAACTCGATATTCACTTCGTTAGAKAAAAGGTCYGAATTGGTGTTGTCCGAGTTTTACATGTTCYAGCCGATTTTCAATACGCCGACATCTTCACCAAAGGGCTTCCGCGTCATCTATTCAACCGTTTTCGGTCCAGTCTGTGCATTCGTCCCTACACTGCTCAGACTGAGGGGGTGTATTAGCTGTAAATTAGCTATTTCTGAGTTTAGCCTCATCTATTTTAGGATGTTTATTATGTCATTGATCACCCCTAAATAAGTGGAGATCATTTCCTAATTTGTAGCCTCTCAGTTATATATATATTCGGCTGATGTATATAGAAGATAATCAAGGAAAACACGATTACTTTCATACTTGTGCAAGCTTTATCATTTGCAAACTCAACATGTATTAAAGCAAAGTTTATGTAATAGATCTACCAAGGCATCATTTCCCTTTACGGAGCTGAATTCTGAAACATGAATGAGATGTGAAATGAATAAACCTCAAATTTACGTGAAGTGAGTTCCCATAACAGCAGGATAGTTTTGTGAGCATTCTTATATGCTAAAAGAGCAGTAAGGAAAAGTTATAGATATACCTTGGGTATTTGCTATGAAGAATCTTCTTGTCACCATATTTCCTCCAAACATAACCATCATCGAGGGCTTCTTTAATCGCCATCCTCGTGGTCACTTTAACTTGCATCTTCCTCCTCTTATAACATCCCTTTCTGCAAACAGTTGCTATAWATTACATATCTACACATTTTATCTTGCCTTCTCTTCTATTTTTAAGCAATATCGATGTTATATTGCRTATCTAAAAACCCTACAGCTAATAAACACACATTTAAGCATATTTATACATATCAATAGCAACTTAGCAAGGTAGTTTAGTCCTGCATYTCAGGTTCATTTTCATGAATAACAACACGATTAACAGGGAACTGTTAAATACTAAGAGAGAAGGCAGAGAAAAGTTGATGGTATAGATATTCTCAGAGAATTTGGAATTAAAAATCACATTCTGTAAATGGTCCATCCAGAAACTGCCATAATCTGAGGGTACTTAAAACTCTATAAGCAGGCACTCTTTCATGGATAAAAATAAGTTGTCTCAAAATTTCCTATCACTTCCCTGTCCACCAATCACGTAAGCCCAACGATCGATTTATTGAGGAGAGATAATCAAAAGATGAATTAAATAAACTAGTATTAAATAAAATAATGATGTTTCTTCAAATAATTGGTGGGACAAGGAGACAACGAAATTTGGGACAGCAGATATTTATCCCAACGTTCATGTTGCCACTCTCTCTACAAGGTATCAATGATATACACATATTTATCTCGCATCTAGTGTATATGAACGTGAAATTTAACTTTATTTATAAAACTTTACTTATGATTACATCAGAGTTCAAATACTAGCAAAAAAGTAACTCAGTAGCTTATAATACAAC